CCCCTGACGTGTAGCGGACACACCCGACCCGTCGTTCACCTCCAGTTCAGTCCCATCACAGACAACGGCTTTTATCTGATCTCCGCCTCCAAAGGTTTGCATACATTGAGATGTCATGTCATGTCATGTCATGTCATGTATGTCTTATTGAATATGATTACAGATGGAAAACCAATGCTTCGTAAGGGAGAGACCGGTGATTGGATCGGCACTTTCGAGGGACACAAAGGTTGGTCTATATCTTGAAATACCCATTTTTATGACCAATTAATGAATGGTTTGTCGATGTCTTCGGCAACAATAGGTGCCGTTTGGGGCGTTGCGCTCAATAGCGATAGCCGACGGGCGGCCACCGGCGCCGCCGACTTCTGCGCCAAAGTTGGTCTCATATGAAAACTAATTGTTAAATACAATGTTTGATATGATTTTGTGTCACATTTTTGGTCAGATATGGGACGCAGTGTCGGGACAGGAGTTGCATAACTTAAGTCACGCACATATCGTTAAAACCGTTGATTTCAGTTCAGATGACAACCATTTGGTGACCGGAAGTAACGATAAATTGCTCCGCGTTTACGATCTCAACCAAATAGACTCAGGTTTTGTGATTATTCGTGTAATTTAATGACCGATAGTTGTAATGTTGATGTGATTGGTTACCAATAGATCCCATCAAATTTAATGGTCACTCATCCGCTATACGACACGTTTTATTCGCAAACGATTCCCGACTTATTGTGAGCGCTTCGGAGGACAAGACTATTAGATTTTGGGACAAAACATCGCAACAAGAGATTAAGAAATTAGATTTCAATACAATTCCCTATAGTATTGAACTCTCGAAAGATTCCCAACTATTGTCCATCTGTTACGGCAATTACGTCCAGTTTTTGGACATGAATTCCATGGAAACGATCAAAGAGTTTAAGATTCCGACGCAAGTGTTGTCCTCAACACTACATCCGGACAAAAGTGTGTTTGTCTGCGGAGGAGAGGACTTCAAAATGTATAAATACGACTACAATAACGGCAATGAAAT